TTAAAGAAGTGACTGGCTAACCCTAAACTGAGACTGTCTCTTTAATACAAGGGAAACATTGGAAGAGATCAACTTCTCACTGTGTTACCTAGTGCTGACTGCAAGGACCACCTAAAAACATTTCACTCAGAGAGTGGTACCCATGGTTTGCAAACATTGCTTTCATCTATGCATCATCAACTTTTTTTTTTTTTTAAAGATTCTATTTATTTATTTGACAGAGAGAGACACAGCGAGAGAGGGAATTCAAGCAGGGCGAGTGGGAGAGGGAGAAGCAGGCTTCCCGCTGAGCAGGGAGCCCGATGTGGGGCTCGGTCCCAGGACCCCGGGATCATGACCTGAGCCGAAGGCAGACGCTTAACCATCTGAGCCACCCAGGCGCCCCTATGCATCATCATCTTACTGTTTCCTGTGCCTGATTTGTGGATGGCTGATTTTGGCTTATTCCTGTTATTAAGGGAACACCAGGCCTCATGGTCAAACCACAGTTACCATTGAATAAGTTTTGTTTATTTATTTATTTAGAGAGAGAGAGAGGAGGGAAGAGGGAGACAAAAACACTAGTACACTCCATGCTGAGCGTGGAGCCTGACACGGGGCTTGATCCCATGACCCTGAGATCATGGACTCATCTGAAACCAAGAGTCGGATGCTCAACTGACTGTGTCACCCAGGGGCCCCACCTTTGAGTAAGTTTTAAAACAACTTACTAAAAAGACAGATTTAGGATATCAATTTATATATTTATTATTATTATTATTATTATTTTTTAAAGATTTATTTATTTATTTATTTGAGAGAGCGAGAATGAGAGACAGAGAGAGTACATGAGATGGGGGAGGGTTAGAGGGAGAAGCAGGCTCCCCACCGAGCAGGGAGCCCGATGCGGGACTCGATCCAGGGACTCCAGGATCATGACCTGAGCCGAAGGCAGTCGCTCAACCAACTGAGCCACCCAGGCGCCCTATATTTATTATTTTTAATTAATTTTTTTTTAGAGGAGAGGGACAGAAGGAGAATCTTTTTTTTTTTTTTAAGATTTTATTTATTTATTTGACAGAGAGAGAGAGAGCACAAATCGGCAGAGCGGCAGGCAGAGGGAGAGGGAGAAGCGGGCTCTCCGCTGAGCAGGGAGCCTGATGTGGGGCTCGATCCCAGGACCCTGGGATCATGACCTAAGCCGAAGGCAGATGCTTAATGACTGAGCCACCCATGCGCCCCGAGAAAGAGAATCTTAAGCAGGCTCCATGCCCAGTATGGAGCTGGATGAGGGGCTCAGTCTCATGACCCTGAGATCATGACCTGAGCCAAAATCAAGTTGGAGGCTTAACCTACTGAGCCACCCAGGGGCTCTGGGATATTGTTTTTATTGGCCTGTTTTCTCCAAGGGCTACCTAATTTATATTCCAGAGTCAGTAATGTAAACGAAAATAGACTTTTACCATCTAGGCATCCAGGAAGGGGGAGCCTGACAGCAGACTGGCTGAATGTAGGGGAGTGTCTTAGTTAAACTTTTGGGTGCAAGGAGCAGAAGCCCATTGACACAAGCTCTAGTGAAGGGGGCTTGCTATAAACCCTGGTGGGAGCCTAGAGCAGGGATGCAGTTTTCAGGGTTTGATGGAAACTGAAGATGGGGTGCCTGGGTGGCTTAGTCATTAAGCATCTGCCTTCGGCTCAGGTCATGATCCCAGGGTCCTGGGATCAAGCCCTATGTCAGGCTCGCTGCTCAGTGGGAAACCTGCTTCTCCCTCTCCTACTCCCCCTGCTTGTGTTCCCTCTCTCGCTGTATCTGTCTCTGTCAAATAAATAAATAAAATCTTAAAAAAAACCCAAAAACTGAAGAGCTGTCAGGATCCAAAGCTTTTTTTTTTTTTAAGATTTTTAAAAATTTATTTGTCAGAGAGAGAGAGAGCACAAGCAGGGGGAGTGGCAGAGGAAGAAGTAGGCTCCCCGCTGAGCAAGGAGCCCAATGTGGGACTTGATCACAGGATCCTGGGATCATGACTTGAGCCAAAGGCAGACACTTAACCACCTGAGCTGCCCAGGCATCCCTAAAGCTCCCCCCCCCGCCCCCGCCAATTTTCATCCATGCTTTTATCTGTGTGTGTTTATTCTTTGCTTGGTTCTTCAGAGTTTTGTTTTTTTTTTTTTCCTGCCTACTCATCAGTTTACCCAGGGCCCAACATGTTGGCTTTGTGGCCACACCAAGATGTGACCTCTCTTTACGAGCTTAAATTAATCAACACTGCCCTGCCCCCAATCCTTTGATAAAGATAAGTGACATTTTTAATACTTTTATAAATGTTATGTGAATGAAGAGGCAAGAGACAACTCCTTTTCTTCACTCCCCATCAACTAACTTGCATCCTCTAAGGCACCTTCAAAATGGAAATTCTGGAACTGCCACTGGTAATGTCAGACTAACAATATTTATTTCCTTCCAAATGAGGTTCCCCATAGTTTCTCACTCTGGCTTTGTGACTCAGTGTTGCAGTTACAGTTTACCAGGGAGAAACCTGATTTACCCTTGGGTTAATATCCACCCCACTGGGTGTATTTACAAGGTCTAGACGTGGTCATCGAATCCTACCCCTGCAGTAGAGGCAGTGGAAACCATTCCCAGAGAAGAGGGCATGGGCAGGTAAGTGCAGAGGGAAAGGTTAAATGCCCTTATAGTCCTGACCTCTGGTCTCATCCATTTATGGGCAGATCCTCAGAGCTGGGGTCTCATCACAGATGTTTAATTACTCTTCAGGGTATGCTCTAAAAACATGGAGTCTTACAGGAATGAGTCAGAAGTAACTTAGAACTGACTCAGAAAGAGATCAGCATATTATTAGGAAGAGAAAGTGTCCTTTATTGAGCTGAAATATCTCTGTCAGGTATTCTGTAAGGACAAATGATGGCATATTGGCTGAGCTATTTAAGAAAACTGGTGTTAGATATTTGGGTAGTTAGGCCAAGTTTGTATGCTTTTAGTTTTCTGGTTCTCCAGTCTCTCCACCTGAGTATTAGGTCTTTGATCTTCCTTTCTAGATTTCGATTGCCTCCACAGTGAGTCTGTCTCTTTTTGACCTTCCTCCCTAGATTGTGATTACCTCCAGAGTAGGGCTTCTTAATCTCTTCACCTAGCATATTTGGTGCTTATCTGTGTTATGGCATTGGAGAAAGACTGAAGAGATGAAACTCATGGGTTCATGTGGGTCTGTTTTAAGTTTTAGTCAAGTATTCATTGGAGGAAAATGGAATTTGTTAGGTAAAATGATAGTCTATTTCTGTTGTTTGGGCCACCAGGGCCGTAGATTATTTTGAGTTCTTTATGCTTCCTTTGTCCCTATGCTGATTTGGGACCTTGATGGACAAAGTGGGACCATTAGAGGTAGTAGATTGTGAACTGGCCCACATTCAGTCATCTTTCTATAATTAGAACTGACAGCTACCACCCATGTTGCCCACCTATAACACTTCTCACTTTCCTTCTCTGGAAATGAATCTTTGCTTTGTGGGTGTGTGTATCACACACATTTTGTTAATGTGCTTTATTTGTTAGAGCAGTTTCAGGTTTACAGAAAAAAGAGTGGAAAAGTACAGAGTTCCTATATATCCCCACACTCCCACTCCCTCCCCCCAGTTTCCCCTATTGTTAATATCTTGATTTAGTGTGGTACTTTGTTTCAGGTGCTGAGCCAATATGATAGGTTTTTTTATTATTTTTTAAAGATTTTATTTATTTTTGAGATAGAGAGGGCTCACGAGCATGAGCGGGGGAGGGGCAGAGGGAGAAGCAGAGTCCCTGCTGAGCAGGGAGCCCAATGCGGGACTCGATCCCAGGATCCTGGGATCATGACCTGAGCCACCCAGGCGCCCTGATAGGTTATTTTTAACTAATATACATAGTTTACTAGTTTACATTAGGGTTTATTCTTTGTGTTGTACCTTCTGTGGGTTTTGACAAAAGTATGATGACCTATATCCATCATTACAGTATCATACAGAATAGTTTCACTGTACTAAAAATCCCCTGTGCTCCACCCATTCATCCCTCCCCCAGCCCCTGATGACCACTGATTGTTTTATTGTCTCTATAATTTTTGCCTTTTCCAGAATGTCATATAATTGGAATCATATAGTATAGCTTTGTCAGATTGGCTTCTTTCACATAGCAATATGCATTTAAAGTTCCTGTGTTTTTTTGTGCCTTGATAGCTCATTTCTTTTTATCACTGAGTAATATTCCATTGTACGACTCTATCACAATTTTGTTTATCCATTGGCCCATTGAAGGACATCTTGGTTGCTTCCAAGGTTTGGTAGTTATAAATAAAGCTGCCATAAACATATGTGTGCAAGTTTTTGTGTGGAGGTAAATTTTCAGCTTATTTGGGTAGATACCAAGGAGCATGATTGCTGATCAAATGGTAGAGTATGTTTAGCATTTGAAGAAACTGCCAGACTGTCTTCCAAGGTGGTTTTACCATTTTACCTTCCCAGCAGCACTGAGTGAGAGGTGCTGTTGTTCCATGTACTCACCAGCATTTGATCCATAACTTATTTTGAGTTATCTATGCCTCATCTGCCCCTACACTGATTTGGAACCTTGCTGAGCAAAGAGGGATCAGGTAGTAGTAGTAGTAGGTTGTGGACTGGCCTGTTTAGTCATTTTTCTATATTTAGAATTGACAGCTACCACCATTTCCCATTTATGACACTTCTCATTTTCTTCTAGATCTTCTCATCTGGAAATAAATCTTTTCTTTGGTTAGACTTTTGGATAATAATTGATTCCTTTTTTTCCGTAACACAATTTTATAACAGGTCTGAGAGATGACTATAGGAATATAAGATCGTATTCTGGGCCATCCTAGCCACTTAGAATTAAAATTGGCCCCATGATGTTTTTAATACCGAATTAAAATACTTTATGAAACATCTCATACCAGCCTATGCATTTTTCATATTTGCTGAAGGAATATAATAACTATCATAATTTGTTTTCATAGATTATCTTGATAATGGTAATAATAAAATGGCAATTCAGCAAGCAGATAAATTGTTGAAGAAACATAAGGATCTTCACTGTGCTAAGGTAAGTTCATTTGCTCTAGAGTTACTTATATTTGGTGGGTTATATATTATAATCTTAAAAGGGAAAAGATATTAAATCTGTTTAGTGACGGTTTTTTCAGGGTTTTTTTTTCCCCCAGGTTATGTTTTGTTTTGTTTTTTAAGCAGGCTCCATGCCCAGTGTGGAGCCCAATGCAGGGCTTGAACTCACAACCCTGAGATGAAGAATCACACACTCCACCAACTGAGGCAGCCAGGCGCCTGTCTAAGCTCTAAGCCATTTATTTTTCTTTTTTCTTTTTTTTAAAGATTTTATTTATTCATTCGAGACACAGGGATACAGAGAGAGAGAGAGAGAGAGCACGAGCAGGGGGAGAGGCAGAGGAAGAAACAGGCTCCCCGCTGAGCCAGGAGCCCGACGTGGGGCTCGATCCCAGGACGCTGGGATCATGACCCGAGCCAAAGGCAGATGCTTAACCATCTGAGCCACCCAGGCGCCCCTAAGCCATTTATTTTTCTGATTACTTAAATGTCATAAATAGTATTTAATTAAAAGCTAACGGTTTATTTCTTTGGATATTTTGGACATTGCTAATTTAATTATTTTATATTGATAGACTTCTTTTTTCTAACCAACGTTGTGCCTTTTATTTATTTTTTTAAAGTAGGTTCCACGCCCAACATGGGGTTTGAACTCACAGCCTCGATATTGAGAGTTGTATACTCCAGAGCTTGAGCCAGCCACGTGCCCCTGTTCTGCCTTCTTAATATGACTGAATAGGAAAGACTCTTGATGTGCTGCGATTTTTAGTAAAATGTGGTTTACTTGATAGCAACCTAGGCATACCTTACAGCTTATCTTGTGTTTTCAAGTTGGCCTTCTTTGGCTCTTTTTTTTTTTTTAAGATTTTATTTATTTATTTGACAGGGTATAAGCAGGGGGAGCAGGAGAGGAAATAGCAGGCTCCCCTCTGAGTAGGGAGCTTTGGCTCATAGTTTCATTTCTGTCCTTTTAAAACTAATGTTTTTCCTATGTATCAGGTTTTAAAGGCAATTGGTTTACAGAGAACTGGAAAGCAAGAGGAAGCCTTCATGTTAGCACAGGAGGTGGCAGCCCTTGAACCAACAGATGACAACTCGCTACAGGCACTGACTATTCTTTACCGGGAGATGCACCGACGTATGTTTCTTTTTCATTGTTTTTAAACTTGAGCTGAAGTTTTTGTTTCTTCCGTCTTCTTTTTTTTTTTAAAGATTTATTTATTTATTTTAGAGAGAGAGAAAGCATGCAAGGGGGCGGGGGGAAGGGGAGAGGGAGAGGGAGAGAGAGAATCTCAAGCAGGCTCCACACCCAGCATGGAGCCCAAGCTGGGGCTTGATCTCACGACCCTGAGATCATGACCTGAGCTGAAATTAAGAGTTGGATGCTTAACCAGCTGAGCCACCCAAGCGCCCCAAGGTTTTGTTTATTTCTGATTGAGTTCTCTCTTTGTTCATTTTACTTATCACTCATGTTTTGAGTGGATGGCAATAGTCAAAATAATGCATTAACCATGATTTACAAAGACAGGCAGAAAGGATATTTTACGTGTATTAGTATCCTGAATTGGAATGAGTTGAGGTTGGTTTGTGACATTTTGATTTACTGAATGGAAGAGTTACCCTTTTTACTATTTGATATGGAAAATTTCAAACATAAAAAAAACCAGAACAGCATAATAAATCTCATTGAACTCATTATCCACCTTCAGCAGTCATTGTCCCATGGCAAATTTTACTGTATCCCATCCCCTGCCAGATTCTTTTTTTTTTTTTAAAGATTTTATTTATTTATTTGACAGAGAGAGACACAGCGAGAGAGGGAACACAAGCAGGGCGAGTGGGAGAGGGAGAAACAGGCTTCCCGCGGAACAGGGAGCCCGATGCGGGGCTCGATCCCAGGACCCTGGGATCATGACCTGAGCCGAAGTCAGACGCTTAATGAAGTCAGATGCTTAACGATTGAGCCACCCAGGCGCCCCTGCCCATCCCCCGCCAGATTATTTCTAAGCATATTCTAGGTAGTCTACCATTTCACCTGTAAATAAAGTTTTTCATTGTTAATTTCTTAAATCTTTTATTATGGAGTAATACGTATCTTCCATAATACATATTATAGAAGATACATTTTATATAACACACTAGAATACTTGATGTGGAATAATGAACGTTCATGAATCTACCAATCAACTTAAGAAAGAGCATTATCAATACTGACAGCTTCCTATGTGTTCCTTATCAATCTCACTTCCCCTTTTACATTCCAAGAGGTACTTGTTTCCTGAATATATTTTATTATCTTGCTTTTAAAAAAAATCTTTATCACATTTGTTTTTCTAAGTAATACTTTATTAATTTTGCTCAATTTTGACTTATTTGAAAAATTTTGCCTTTGGGGCTTCTGGATGGCTCAGTTAATAATCTGTCTTCAGCTCAGGTTATGATCCCGGAGTCCCAGGATAGAGCCCCACATCGGGCTCCCTGCTCAGCGTGGGGAGTCTGCTTCTCCCTCTGCCCCTCACCGCACTCGTGCTCTCGCGCTCTCTCTCTCTCAAATAAATGGGTAAAATCTTAAAAAAAAGAAAGTTTGCCCTCAAACCATCACGTTGTACACCTTAAGATACACAATTTTTATTTGTCAGTTATTCCTCAATAAAGCTGGAAAAATAAAATAAAAATTTTTGCCAACCTAGTGGACAGAAATGTTACTTTCCAGTTTTGTTTTTCATTTTTTTAGAAGATTTTATTTATTAGGGAGTGCGAGCAGGAGGGGGGAGGGGCAGAGGGAGAGGGAGAAGCAGACTCCCTGTTGAGCAGGGAGCCCAATGTGGGACTCGATCCCAGGACCCTGGGATCATGACCTGAGCTGAAGGCAGATGCTTAGCTGACTGAGCCACCCATGTTTTTCGTTTTTTAAAAGACAGAACTTAAGAGTTGGGTATTATATCTGATTATTTAGGGATTATGTTGATTTAGGGTTACGGGTTCTCCCCCAGTGTTTTTTTAAAAATCATTTATCTCACAAATACTGAATGTTTCTCTATGACAAGTATTGTATCCAAGTCAAAGATGAAAGGTGCTCTCTCTGCCCTTGTGTTACTCATAGTCTTTAAGGGGAAATTCAGGGGGACCTGGCTGGCTGTCAGAGCATGCAACTCTTGATCTCAGGGTCGTGGATTCAAGCCCCATGTTGGATGTAGAGCTCAATTAAAAAAAAAATAAGGGGAAATTCATCAATAGACTTTTCTACATTATGTGTTAATAAATGTTATAAGAGACTTATTTAAAAAATTTAAAGATGGTAGAATGAAGCAGTGATCAAACTGGGTGGAGGTGCACAGATGGTGTTTGGGAAGGATTACATTTGAACTTGCACAGTTCCTTGCAGAGAGGATTACATTTGAGCTGGGTCTTGGTCTTGGATGATGTTCACTGAGCAGAAAAGAGAGGAAAGGAGAATCCAGGCAGAGGGAACATGCAGAGGTATGATATAGCACTGGGAGTCTAGTGGAGCTACAAATAGTTTGAGATGCCGGAACAGTAAGTGCTGTGGGAAATAAGTAGGAAGGAGACAGAGAGGCTAGATCCTGGAGGGTCTTATTTATATATTGCAAATGTGTTGGGGAGGCCTGAGCTATTCCATGCTTCATCGAATAACACCCAACCAAGAGAAGAGTAATGATCAGATGAGGCAAAACAAATACTTTCTTCTTCCTTAGTGATAGGAGACATCTATTTCCTCCAAAGGGGGAAAAAAATTAAATGCTGTTAAGATTTAATGTATACTTCAATAATTAAGAAATGTCCTATTTCTTTTTATCCTAGCGGAGTTAGTTACAAAACTTTATGAGGCAGCTGTGAAGAAAGTTCCCAATAGTGAGGAGTATCACTCTCACCTCTTCATGGCTTATGCCAGAGTGGGCGAATATAAGAAAATGCAACAGGTAACTTGATTCCAAACCTCCTGGGCTGTGGGATTTGCTATTAGACGCAGTCTTTTTAAATGTGACTTAATTGTAGGAATATGTTTGCATGTGTGTGTAGAGCCAAATCTATGTATTTGTGTGTGGAGATCAGGCAGATACTTTCTTGTGTGTTTTAAAGATGAACTATTATTCAAGTTCTTTAAGTGTTTTATTTGGGGAAATCTGATTGTTCTTTGGTGGCTTGGTGGTATGTTTTGTTTGGTTCTGGTAAGTTGGCTTCAAATTGTCCCACTGCATGAAATTGTTGTTATAGTTTCAGAAAATGGGCAGAAATCCCAGAACAAAAAATGAACAGACTATAGAAAGATTAACCTTAAAGTTTAGATCTAATTTGTAAATTTAACTCTTTGTAGCCTGAGGAGATTTTTAAATACACCTGGGAAAACTCCCCACTGTTTGGATACTTGTCTTTTTCGTAGAGGCAGCTTATTTGCCAGTTAGCACATTTTAGGTGTTCCATATATTTAGATGTATGTGAAGGAGCCTCATTTGGACTAGTGGGTGGGTAAAGTCAACATCCCAGAGAAATGAAACTGTTAAGCCCATAAAGGGTTATGATGTCAAACTAGCATTTTTTCAGAAATGGCTTTGTTTGTGGGTATAATTTCTTCTGAAAGCAAAGCTTTCTTACTTGGGTTTTTATTTTGTCTTATTCTTTACTTGAAATATCAGACTATAACAGTAGATAAATTAGGGAGGGTGGAAGGTACTATATTAATATAAATCCTTTCTCCTTAAAATTAATCTTTGTATTTGCTTATGCAAGTTTTTAAATTGGAAGAAATTTTTTCCCCAAATATAATTCTTTGAAGAAGTTTTATTTACTGATGGAGTATATTCTCAGGAGAAATAATCAGATTATAATTTTTCTTTTCTTTTTTTTTTTTTTAAGATTTTATTTATTTATTTAACAGAGAGAGAGACAGCGAGAAAGGGAACACAAGCAGGGGGAGTGGGAGAGGGAGAAACAGGCTTCCTGCGGAACAGGGAGCCCGATGCAGGGCTCAATCCCAGGACCCTGGGATCATGACCTGAGCCGAAGGCAGACGCTTAATGACTGAGCCACCCAGGCACCCCTATAATTTTTCTTTTAATGTAAAATGGGTATATATTTTTAAATTGGCAATGCTAACATGTATATATGTAAATCTTTAATATCATTTTTATTTCTAGGAATATGTTTTAAGGGAAGTATATTAAATGTCCGTTAATACAGATACAGTTAAAGGAATTATGATTCATCCATATGGTAGAATAAAATGCAACACCCCACCTCCCCTTAAATGGTGTCTTTGTGTTTTTCTACCAGTCCATAAAGGATATATCTCTAAGGGAATGTACCAAAATGTTACCAGGATATAGGCCTGTGGATACTTTTCTTTCTCTTAATTTCCTTTTTTTTTTAGGCATGTGTTAATTTTATGATCCCATAAAACATATTTTTGAACTATGTCTATTATATATACATGCAGTAAAATAACAAAAAGGACAAGTTAATGCAATGACAATATCAGGGTAAATTTTGAAAAAGGGAAAAAATAATCTGCCACTTGAACAGAATTTTTATTTTTATTTTTTTTACTGTTGAACTTTACATGTTGGCAGAGATATACATATACCTTTGCATCTTGCTCTTGGGAGCCACTGCTTTGATGTGGCTTAATAAGTCATTGATCCTAAATATGTTGTAGCTATAGCTTGTTTTTTTTTTTTTTTGTATGGTTGTTTTTAAGATTTTATTTATTTGAGAGAGAGAGTGAGCAAGAGAAATGGAGCAGGAGAGGGGCAGAGGGAGAGGGAGAAGCAGACTCCCCGCTGAGCAGGGAGCCCAAGGACAACATGGGGCTTGATCTGGCACTCGGGGATCATGACCTGAGCTGAAGGCAGACGCTTAACCAGCCGAGTCACCCAGGCACCCTGCGATAGCTTGTTTTTACATTATTCCATTCTAGTATATTGGAAGAATAGAGCGTTCTGGTGTTAAATGTTTCAGAATGAAATGTCTAATTTTTATTTTACCTTTTTTGCTGCTTAAGATCGTTACAATTTCTTAGTTTATATGTATGTTTATTTTGAAAGTGGTATGTCAGTCTGGGGTAATAGGTAGTTTACAAATTAAATGTCATGTTTCATGAGGGTGAGCGTTTTTGTTCACTCTTGAATCCTCAGTGCCTAGAATAGCATCTGCACAATAAATTTTTGTTAAATAAATGATTTGCATTAACTGGTGGAGGTAAAAGGGAGGGAAGCCAGGGAATCAGAAAATTTAAGGACTTCTGCTGTCCCAAATGACATTCCTGGCAGGTAATATTTAAAATCATCTTGAATGAAGATTTGCTAGGGGTTCAAAGGTAATTGGACTTTTCTTTTTCTGTAAATGATATTTCCTTTCGTTCGTTTGTTTGTTCATTTGTTTTTTGACGTTCTTGTATTCTGAGTCACCAGTTCACAGCCATGTTTTTTAAACTTGTCTGTCTTCAAAAGTTTTCTGTATCAGCAGAGTATCAGTGTCTGCAACATAGTATAGGGTGCAGGCATGAAATTTTTGTCTTACCTTTTGTATTAAAAATTCATACAAATTTTATATTTTACTCCTTTTTATTTCTGTATGTCATTATAAAAATGTTTTCTTTCCCCAAATGATCAAGTAAAATTGGTTTTCTAACACTTTTCATTCCATTCCTCCAGAGTTTGGTGTTAGAAGCAGGGACCTTAAGCCATCTTAGACTACTTTTTTTTTTAATTTTGTTTATTTGAGAGAGAGAGAGAGAGAGAGAGGGAGAGCAGGAGAGAGAGCGAGCAGGGGGAGGGGCAGAGGCAGAAGGAGAAGCAGACTCCAGCAGACTCCCCGCTGAGCAGGGAGCCTTACTCAGGGCTCAATCCCAGGACCTTGAGATCATGACCTGAGCCAAAGGCAGATGCTTAACCGACGGAGCCCCCCAGGCACCCCTTAGACTCTCCTTCTTATCCTGTATGTCCATTTTGTCTTTAAATCATTTTCACTCTTTTTCTACAGTGTCTTTGAGGTCTGTTTTCTATTTGATCTACCTCATCCTGGTTTAGTTCCTCATTGCCTCATCTCTTCTATTTTCTTCCTTCACAGTACAGCTAAAATACTCTTCCTGGAAGAGTATAGATGTATACATATCACTCCCTTACTCTGTATAACAGACTCCTTTTTGAGTGCTTTACAACCAGAGTATCTCAGTTACCTTTCAGCCCTTTTCCCCTACCAGTCCTCTTAATCCTTATTTATAGCCAAACGTCCTATTTGTTCTTGTCAACATATGTCTCTTCTTTCTTTAATATTTTGTTCAGATTCAGATTTTGCTTCTACCTAGAATTGACTCACCCCAAATGTTTTTCTTTGTGTGTACGTATCCTTAACCCTATCTTTGCCTGTAGACATTCTGTTAACCTTCAAGGTTCATCTGAAAGACTGCTACTTTGAAGAAGGCTTTATTGATTAAGTTACCTTCCCTACTTTCCCTTAAAGAAAGAAAAAGAAAGGAATGAACAAACTTATGACCATGCCTTTTTTGAAAACAAAAAGGCATCGTGTTTTTGTATAGGATGTTTATTTTTTTTCCCAAGTATTATTTTAGTCATTTGAATATTTGTCTTATCTCTTTCCCTAGCTTTTAAGTGTGTTTGGGACCGGGACTCAATCTTTGTATCATGGGCAGAATAGACATTTCCTTCCACTAAATAGGGGCTCCGTATAATTTTTCAAGTGGACTGAAGATAAGCAAAAGATTAAAAAACATAAAATAGTAACTGTGACAATTAGCTGAGTTCTTAGCATTGATTACTAGTTGGCTAATTATGGGCAGATTCTCAGTTATGCATGAATAGATCTACTTTGTTCCTTCTTGCCATGTCCCTGCTTTTAAGTATTTCACATTATACATTTCACAAAGAAAGGGTTCAGTTCTAGTTAATGGTATCTTGAAAGAACCTGATTATTTTCCTAACCTAAGAATTATTATTTTTTTAATAATGCCAGAGTAAACTTTTCTGATTTTAAGTTTAAATATACTGTCTGGGGGCGCCTGGGTGGCTCAGTCATTAAGTGTCTGCCTTCGGCTCAGGTCATGATCCTAGGGTTCTGGGATTGAGCCCCACATTGGGCTCCCTGCTGAGCAGCAGGGAGCACCTCAATACTGTCAATTGAGCTTCTCCCTCTCCCACTCCCCCTGCTTGTGTTCCCTCTCTTGCTGTTTCTCTCTCTGTCAAATAAATAAAATCTTTAAAAATAAATAAATATACTGTCTGCATTTTTTTGTTTGTTTTACTATAACTAGTTAGTGCAGTATTTTTAGGTAAGTTTGTCGGTATACATTCATAAGCCAAATTTTATGTTTGTTGGTAGTCTATCAGAACCATATTGGATTGCTGTATTTTCCAAAAATACTGGCCTTTAATTTGAAGAAATCTGGTTCAAAAGGTGAAATATTCCTGATGTAAAAATTCACCTTTGTGATTACCTATATTGTTGTCCACTAGAGAATATCCATCAAGTCACTAGGCACTTACAGTAACTGGGACGTGTAGACGTGTTGCTCTTCTCCTAGGAAACTTCTTGCCACATATCTAGATCATTAATTGCCATTTGTATGACGTTTTCCAAATTAAGTATTTATGGCTCTCTGTCTTTCAGGCTGGCATGGCTCTATATAAGATTGTCCCCAAAAACCCTTACTACTTTTGGTCTGTGATGAGCTTAATTATGCAAGTGAGTATGGCATTCAGAATGGGATTGAGATTTATTTTTATTTTTGTATATAGTTATTGTCCTTAACTTGTCTTCTGAACACCTTGGGTAATGTGTCGCAGCGTGTGTCAAACAGGGACTTTACATAATGTCAGTTTGACTTTTTGAGTTGGGGAGTTTTGGTATTTATTCCTTATGAGTTGGTATATCAGTTTATTTGTATGTAGCACAGACTGTATTTCCCCTGAATCTTAAATCCATTACTGGGTTATTTGATCAAGTATGAGCCTCGTTTGATATTTTGACTTGAGGTTTGTCTTTAAAACAGTATTGTTTGTTAGTGATCACGTTATTGAACTGGATGGCCTTGTTTTATCAATTCCGTTTTTTGAACCTCCGTTTGCTCTTTTGCAGAATGGAGATGCTTATCTCCCAGAGCCAGTGTAAGGACCAAAAGGAGATAGTGTGTAAGAGAAGATGGGGAGGAAAGAGTTAAAATGTAGCAGTTAAGTCAGAGAGGCTCTGGGTTCAGACAGGTCTGCATTCATATACTGGTTTCAGCACATGTCTTAGAGAACTGTTGGGGAATCTCTTAGTTTATCTATGAAATAAGCATAATAGCTACCTTCAGCTACTGAGCTCTGAGCAGAATCTCAGGCAATGTTAAAATTATTAATAAGCATTGATTTTAATTATCAATCTAAGATAATCCTAATTATTGAAACTAGTTAATACTAGGCTGTATAAATGGAAGGTATTGGCGTTTTCCCTCTAATATGTGAACATCTCAAAAAGACGTCTGAAAGGCTTTACTCTTCAAACACCTGATGATACCTTTTACATATAATAAACAGTATAGGCATATCCCCTCTTAACATAGTTCTAGAAAAATGTATGAATAACCTATTTAAAAGCTAGGCCATATTGTGCAAATCCAGTTTGTCAAAGATGTATAGGATAATGCATCTTTAATAAATCTCTTCTAAAGCAAACCACTCTGTAATGTATCTTCCTGGCAAGTTCAAATTAGGTCTGATATTAGACATAGTGGACTGATAATTATGTGCTGGAGTCACAGTAATGGTCTGCCTGGTAATAATATAAATAGTGCAAGCAGGGGAGAAATTAGAGTGAAATATTTATTTTTTTCTCCTATAGTCTATATCAGCACAGGATGAAAACCTCTCAAAAACGATGTTTCTGCCCCTCGCTGAAAGAATGGTAGAAAAAATGGTGAAAGAGGACAAGATAGAAGCCGAGGCTGAAGTGAGTAATGGAAGTCCTACAAAAGCCGTACTTTTGTATTTGCATGAGTTTGATATTGCTACAATATTATGCTATGGTATTACAAACTGCTCTCTTATTCCAGTTAGAGAGCTGGGTCCTCACTCTTGTGTAAATATGAAGCTTTGGAAGTACCCAGCTTAAGTATAATGAACATTCTTATTGCTGATTTCATCTCATTTGAAGATAGTGTTCTTTTCTATTAGATACTTTTAAAATTAAATTAAATTAAAATAAAATTTTCTTAAGTAGGCTCCACACCCAGCATGGGGCCCAACTTGGGCTTGAATTCATGACCCTGATACCAAGACCTGAGCCGGTATCAGGAGTCAGACACTTAACTGACTGAGCCACCTACATGCCCCTTGATAACTTTTTAAAAACATGCAAATGACTATTCTTATTGAAAAGTTTCGATTGTTGCATTTCTTACTTGTTTTTTCTGTAAGGTTGAACTTTATTATATGATCTTGGAACGTTTGGGAAAGTACCAGGAAGCCTTGGATGTTATCAGAGGAAAATTAGGAGGTAATTTTTAAAGTTTTCTTAAAGTTTTTTTTTCTTCTATTTAAACACGAAAAAAATATTTTTAAAGATTTTATTTATTTATTTGAGAGAGAGTGAGCGAGTGAGTGAGAGAGCGAGAACAAGCTGGGGGGGCCAGGGGAGAGGCAGAGGGAGAAGCAGACACCCTGCTGAGCAGGGAGCCTGATGCAGGACTCGATCCCAGGACCCTGAGATCATGACCTGAAGACAGACGCTTAACTGACTGAGCCATCCAGGTGCCCCAAACATGAAAAATATTTATTGTGGAAAATTTCTTCCTTATACAGAAACATAAAGATATAAAGACATAGAGGGCGCCTGGGTGGCTCGGTTGGTTAAGTGACTGCCTTCGGCTCAGGTCATGATCCTGGAGTCCCTGGATCGAGTCCCGCAT